CCCCAGCCTTTTCTTGCCATCAACCATATGGTTCAAATCTTCTGACTTGCACTTTGCTGTATGTTAGGCACAGGCCTTTGCTGCTGTAATGGATTGCTTTAACTTGGCATTCGTGTCTCACTTGCACGCTTCACTTGGACCACAGGTGGATGAACAACCTAACTCATGCCCTAATAAGCACAAAATCATGAGGCTGTCAGCAGCGGGTACACCATGTATGGAAAGTGCCCTGACTTAAGGAACCATCTTCCTGTCTGGGTGTTCCTCAAAATAGTCTCTGTTCTGAATACAGTTATGGAGAATTGGGTTTGGGGGTGGTGCGGGGTGGGGGTGGAGAAAGTAATTTAGATGCCATAAAGTGATGGATTGGAGAAGAAGCACTGATTTGCTCTCTGAAGAATCTCTGTTTGTAAAGAATAGTATGTGTTGGTGGAAGGCTTTACTGGCACCAGATGTGACTGATTCTCATGCAGGGCCCATATGGTAGATTTGAGGCCAGCAGATTCTTCCGTTTATTCTAAAATCCTGCATCCAGGCAACCAGCCATGTTTGTGACTTCCACTAAATATCAGTTTAATAAAAAATAGGGTAGGTATGAGGTACCATAAACAACTAACGCAAAGACAAAGCACTCTTGATGAACGCTTTTTTTATTCAGTTTTTTTTTTGCAAGTTTCCTTGTGGCTGTTTAACATTATGTAGCATCACAGATGAATGTTGAAAATGGAATCATAAAGATGGCCATTCTGGCCCACCATGTCTTAGCCAGCTCTTAGAACCACTCCCTGATCTCTTGCTATCTTCATGGATTTCTCTAAAATTAGGACTTGGTGTTGCTGGAAATGTTTTGGGCCTGTTTTATAATATAGATGAAAGGGTTTGCAGTTCAGATGTGGCATTGGCATTTTGATAAACTTTTATTAATGTCTTTTGCATCACTTCTGAAGAAGTAATGTTGGGCTTAAAATTTTCACTCTGCTTCTCTCTCTACCTGAGTGTCTCCAGCATTTTCTGTTTTATTGCAGATTTCCAGCATCTGCAGTACCTTGCTTTTATTTTACCTGAGACATTAACACACTCTCTCTTTCTCTCTATCTAAAGATGCTGTCTGTCTTAAGTACTTCTAGCAGTTTTTATTTCAGTTTGCAACATCTGCGGTTTGTGCTTTTGGTCCTGCAATGCAGATGCTGAGCCGAGGGCAATACCTAGATTTTGTTCGTTGAAAGAATGTATCAAATATGATCTGAAAACTTAGCATCCAGATGGTCTAATTATGCTGGCAATTGTTCTAAATTGTGCTGATGCCTGCGTAATGTGCTACATTGTGCATTAAAATTCAGAATACGATATTCCATTGCCAAATTTCTGTGCTCCATTGATCTAAACTTGTATCTGGTGCAGTCCTTTTAAATGATCTGTTGAAGTTTTTGTCAGCATTATGGAAGTGTTCATTAATCCAGAAAGAAATATTTTGAGGTACAGTCAGTGAAATGATGGTAAACAGAAGGTATAACGATTTATCTGCATACAATCCTGTGGGTGAAACCTCGCCATATATTGTGAAGTTTATCTGCAAACATAGTGGGGATAGCTAGGAGGAGTGTGCAGCAAGTCAGCATCACTGAAGTAGATTGGGAGTGCGGCCCTACGTGAGAAAGACCTGTGGTGGCACATTAAAAATTGGCAGCAGAGAGCACCTTCAACCTGTTAGTGCTGAAGTTTGTCACAGGAAGATAGGTGATTGGGCATTTCTTCTGTGTCTCTCTGGATTGGCAAAGTGGTTAAAATTGAACATGTTCGGCTATTCAATTAAGATCGTGGTTCACCTGGCTGTACTTTCATCTCCAGTTACCTTTCTGCATCCCAGAACTCTTGACTCCCTCGTTTCTTCATGAATAATTTTCAAAAATCCGGCCTCCAATGCTATCTAGGAAGAGAATTTCACACTATTATTGATCCTGAGCAGAGAGAAAGAAATCTCCTCCTGCCCTTATCAAGGAAACGTCTTATCCTTAAATAGTGTCCCCTACTTTTAGCCTCCTGTAAGAAGAAACATCTTCCAAGTATCCACCCCGTACAATCTGCTCAAAATTGTATGGGCTACAGTAAGATCTTATGTCATTCTTTTAAGCTACAATATCTGTAGGTCTAATCTGTTCAGCCTTTTTCCCAAGAATGAGTGGAGCTTCAGCTAATATGGATTATTCTCGTTCTTTCTATTTATCATGCTTAGCATTGTATGTGTTAAACGAGAATTTTGAAAATCTTTAATCGGCAAATTCATATTATTAGCCATTGGGATAATTGCAAATTGTGGAAAATCCACAATATTTCCATTTTATTATTAGTCCCATTTTATCAGTTTTAAACTACCTTGCAGTTAAGTCGAGGTATAATTTGTAACCTAAAAAGGATTCACCAAAATATTTTGCCATCATTGTGTAGTTGTAGCCTCTCTATGGCTAATCCATTTTAGCATTTGATTTTAGAGTCTGACTATTTATTAGCCACATGTGGTAGAGGAAGAAAATTGCATATTAATACTATGAAAGAGTGCTAATGAGTTTGTGACTCATTTGTTTATAGATTCCCTTTCAAGTTTGCTTCCTTTTCACTGTATCTCTCTTTTCCTCCTCTTCACCTCCTCTCCTCCACCCCCTCTCCGCACGTGCACGCACACACCCCCACTCCCCTTGCCAGAAAATGTGCTGAAATATTTGATTTTATTTCTGTAGGTGCAGTGGTCTCCACACAATGAAACTATCCTTGCTTCCAGCGGTACTGATCGTCGCCTCAATGTTTGGGATTTAAGGTGGGGGCTAATTCCTCATTTTTCTTTTCTAGTTGGGTGTTTTCTTATCCTTGAGGCATTGAGCTTAATCAGCAAGTGACAATATTCTTTAAATAGATGGAAATTAGTAGCGTCGATAAAGGACGCTGTTAAAGCAGTGGCAAAATAGGATATCAGTGATGTTAAAATACTATTAAAAATATTGGGTAGAATTGAGAAATAAATAGGTTTCAAGACTTTGGAAATTGCTTTTGTGTGTCAGATAGCAGTGATAAAGTAGCAGGGAAAACAGATACTGTTCAGTGAAATTTGATGCAAAAATCGAAGCCTTTAATTTGCAGAGACTGTCGGGAGCAAAATGACTCCAGTTCCAAAGGTAGCAGATTTATTTTCATGTGATTTTCCTGGAATAATAAGTTCTAGAACCAATAAGGGAGGTCTTAGATTTAATAATGAATTGTAATTAATCAATTCAACTGTAAGGAAATACCTAGCTATCAGTGACCTTTTTAATATGATAGAATTCTATTTTAGAGGGAGCATGGGGAGTCACAAGCCAAGGTTTTTAAATTTAGGAGGCAGAAATTGACCACAACAGATTTTGCACATCTATTAACAAATAAATTTTTGGATGAACCTTGGAAAGTGTCCAAAAAAGTATTTGGTAGAATACAACATCTTTACAATAACACTTAAAGTTAGTGCTTGACTTGTGGAAGTTAAACAAACTTGGTCAATATGGGAATAGAATGGTAGTGTACTATTAAACAAAGGCCTGATTGAAAGATCAGTGAAGATTCTGCAGCCTGGGAGTAAAAGAGCAGCACAAAGAGAATTTTGAGGGAAAAATCTTGCAGTGCCTATTAAGGACAACACTTGAAGTTTTTGCAATAAATGGAGATGGCTGGCACAGGCAACATTATAATTGGAAATCAGACTTTGTACGTCTTCACTGTAAAAGAGAAGGATGAGGCACAAAAGTACGAGGAAAAAGCAGAAAGAAACTAACTAGATTTGATATCAGTTTTATATTTAATAAAGAGATGATGGAGAAATTGTTGATCTTTAATCTCAATAAATCGAGAATTTGAATGGGTTCTACCTCAGGAAAGATTGTTGATTTATAATCTACCAAAATATCTTGATTCAAGATTGGGTTAGGCATTGGCAGTGTGACTTCAGTATTTATAAATGGTAAGAGAGATGACAAAATTTATAGTCCTGATTAGAGTTCATAGTTCATAGAATAGAATCCCTACAGTGTTCTGATGGAAAGTCAATGGACTCCTCCTGCTAGACATACTGAATTTCAACCAGCAATTTGTTTTTGTTTCAGATCTCTAGCATCTGCAGTTCTTCTGTGCTTTTTTATATTCTATCAGACTAAAAATTACTAGAATCTGTTGTAAGAGGCAAAGCAGTTAGAACAAAGAGCTGATCAGAGAGCTAGCGTGGATTTGGAAAGTGTAAACCATTTCTAAAGAACCTAGCTTGCTTTCTGAGGTGGTAATGGATATGGGCAGATAAGGGTATGTATGTGAATGTTATTTATTAACTTCTGGAAGCCATTTTGACATGGTTCGATATAAGAAGCCGTTAACAAAAATTAGTCTGGCATAAGAGGCAGCCTACTGGATTGGCTATGAAACAGAATAGGGATATTGGGTATGAACACACATTGGCAAAATCCAGCATGTAGAAATGCACACTGGGGCCACAACTTTTCAGTATTTATAAGTGATACAGTGATGAAGGGATAGAAAGGTATATGTTGAGGTTTGTTGACCACACTAAGATGGATGGAGTAAAAAATAGATGGGAACAAAGTTACTAAGGTATATTGATAAATTGAGACAATTAGACTAGAGCATTTGCTAAACGGTGAAAAGATAGAAACTGTGGATGAGGAGAGAGGTTGAGAAGTCAATCTGCAATAATCACTAAAGTCTAGTGGACTATTGCAAAAAAAAAAATTTGCTATTGAACTTAAGTCTTGGGATTAGAGGTAAGATCCAATTGATTAAAAGTAAAATCCATAGACCACTTCAGGTCATAATTAATATAAATGTTAGTCAGAACCGAATTTTAAAATAAAACTTCTGTTGACTGTTTTAGTGCAGAGTGAAATTGATGTTTACAAGTTATTGGATGGATGTAGTTTCTTGATAGAAATCTGTTTTAATTCTGTTACTTAGGCCAGCATCCTTTGGGACAAAGTGCGTTCATTTTAAATTTGGTCTATGCTGTTTTCAAGCTGAAACAAATGCTATAGTTGAGAGTGCAAAATAGTTAAATTCTGGATTATTTTTGGCTCCATTAAATCACAAACACAACTCATTGTCCTTCAGAAATATTTGTGTGTTAATGTTAATATGGGTTGAAGACATATCTATACATTAATATGGTTTGACATTAGACAAGTGGTTGCTTTCATTACCATTTTTGTACAGAAGTTCTATTTAACTGCATATTGCAGAATGGTTTACCTGTGTTATCTGCAATTGTTATTTTTTAGAATTATAGCCTGTTTCTGCACTGTAACTTCTGTCTTGCCTAACTTAACCCATGCCAGAGTTTGTGCTGCATATGAACCTCTACCGACCTGCAATTCAGCCATTCAGCAAATCCCTCAATTCCTTCCTTCCTCGTGCATGTGTCTAAGATTTCCCTTAAATGCATCTATGTTGTTTGCCTCAGTAACTTAGTGATAAGTTTCACCTGATTTTATTGGATTTACTGAAGACTTTTTTTGACGTATTTATGACTCATAGTTTTCAACTGCCCATGAGTGGAAGCATCATCTGTTACCTTACGAATCCTCTTGGTAATTTCAATCACCTCTTTCCTAGCTAAGAGCCACCACCTGTTAAGTCTTGCATGGTAGTTATACTTAGTGTTAATACCATCTCTGTAAATATTTTTGCACTTCTACCAAAAGAACATTGCTGGACATACTCTTTTAGGTGTTCTCAGATGGATGCTGTTAAGGTGCAATTTCAGAGGTATCTGAATTTATGAACGATTTTTCTAAATGTGTGTTTTGTAGTAAAATTGGCGAGGAGCAATCAGCTGAAGATGCAGAGGATGGACCTCCAGAACTACTGGTAGGTTCCTGTGCAAAGATATGGAGACAACAAAGAAAATAACATTATTTAATTCCTTGGGTCAGTTCCAGCATTTGATTATAATCTTTGCATCAACTCCATTTTCCTACTTTTTCTCTATATCCCTGATATCCTTACTTTTATAAACTTCTAATCTTTTTTGAACATTCCAACTGATGTACCATCTACAGGTCTTTTGAGGCAGAGAAATCCAAATTTTTACTACCTGTTATTTGCTAAAGTGCTGCTTGATTTTGCCCATGAATAGCTCATGTCAGATTTCAAGATTAAGTCAGTTTGTTCTTGACCATTTAGTTGCTCAGTCTAATTTTCTGACTGAAATTAATCCCTTCATATTTCTGTCTTGTTAAATTTCATTTGCCATGTATTTACAGGGTAATCCACATCCCCTGAAGTTTGTTACCATTCTTCTCATTTTTATTATATCTTGAGTTTCATAAACTTCTGCAAACTTTGAATTTTTCACGTTAATTGTTTGTGCTTAGATAATAGTATAATTTAAACAAAAAGTGCAGTCGTCCCAAAACTACTCTCCGGGATACTTTATTCCAGACTAGAGAAAACCAACATTCAGCACTGTTGTTTTCTCTTCCTTAGCCATTTTTTTTTTTTTAATTGAGCCTATCTCTACTTTTTATGTCCCTTGGCCGTCAGTTTTACAATATTCCCCACTTTTTCCATTGCTTCAAGAAGGAACTTTAGTTAGTTGAACATTTTGCTTTCAACAAATCCTGTGGCTTTTATTTGTTAGTGCAGATCTTTCCAGTTACTGATTTTATTTTTCCTTTTGTTCCCTGTTGGCCCAAATCTTCTGAAGAGTGAGTCACTATTGGTTTGTCACTCTGGTTTTCTGTGTTAGGGCTGAGCTCTGTATTTCTTGCTAGCACTTCTGATTCTTGCTTCAGAATTCTTCAGAAATGCAGAATGTACCTCCAATCCAACTGGTTTCTTGTAATGGCAGATAGTTGGAAAGTCAAACCACACCACCTTTTTTATTTATCAATAGTAGATACCATGTTCTGTTCAGTTTAGATGTTTGAAGGCCCTTTTCTGTACAATTATTCATTATCATGTATCCAGTATTTCTTTATTTAGTGTGAACACCACCAGTAGTATTCTTCTCCCTCCCTCAAGGAAAGGGGCTGAGCAGTGCGAAAGGAGGTGGGGATGGAAATGTCGCCCTTTTGGGGGCTATGCATTGCTGCAGATGCTGGGCCACTGTAGCTGATTTACTTGAAGCTACACTACTCATTTTAAGCATAGACCAATAATAAAAACTGATCTCAGCAGGCAAATCTGGTAGTCAAAGTTTAAACCTACCAAAAAAGTACCCTAGATATGGTTGCACCTGGTCGTCTTCTGGGTCTGAAGGTGCATCAGTAAAATGTTGAGTTAGAGGCCTCCTCCCATGTGAGAAGATCTGGACTAATGTCTCGAGGTTTTCTCATCACTGACACTGAGCTAATTGGTTGGGATTTGTTAGATTTATCCCTTTTCTTTCTTTAGCAGTGTAACATTTTCCACCCCATACTACGTCCAAGGAAAAATGTGGCCAGAGCAACCTTAATTTTCATCCTTTCTTCCATTCATCATAATCTTAAGTAGCTTGTCTTTTTATTTATTTACTTTTACCCTTTTCAGAATCTTTACCAGTGTTGCACAAAAGCAAGAGGAAGTAATGTCCTCTTCTTCAATCCAGAATCCTGCAAAGTGATTATTGTGTCATTCAGTACCTCAGCTATGGTCTCCACTTCCTTAAGATGATCTTTTTGGTTCCTAATTAGTTATGTCCTTTCTTTGACTGAATTTTTACTTTTTTATACATTTTTATGTTTTCAGCTGCCTATGTTCAGTTTAATGTTTCAAAACGTTGTACATGATAGAGCAATGTGGAGACATTTCTGCATTGAAGGAGTTCAATCATGGTGGCACTCTTTAACTGGAGCTGTTATAATTTAACTTTTTTTAAAAGTCCCCTTCTCCATATCCTCCTTGAATGTTTATTGAATTCTCCTTTACATTAACACGTTTACCTTATTAGCCATTGTTTTTTCTGATTACCCTCATGGTGGCAGGGGTGGGATTTAATTACTGACTTCCATCTTGTCTTTTGATAGTCCAAAATATTTCCTTCATTTTCATTGGTAGGTACATTGATCTTTCACTGCTGTCTCTTTCATATTTTTGAAAATATCTCTTCAATTTCTCCATTCCAATTTATTTTATAATTATATTGTTATTGATACATTTTTAAGTGAGAGCAACTTGGAGGTGGTGTTCCTATATATCTGCTGCCCTTGTCCTTCTAGATGGAAGTGGTCATGGGTTTGGAAGGTGATGTCTAAGAATCTTTAGAGTTTCAGCAGTGCATCTTGTAGATGGTACACATTGCTGCTACTGAGCATCAGTGGCATGTCATTAATATCATGCCTGTAATGTAGAGATAATAATACATGACAAACAGTTGGGATATATGAGCAGCCAGTCAGTTACAACACCAGAAGACTTTGCGTTTCAAAATGTTCCATAGGATCTTTTAACATGTACCCAAACCACTAAAGTCACATTCAAAGGATAGAATCTATACTGATGTAGCACTGCAGTGTTAGTGCAACTGCAAAGGTGAAAGGCTGGGAGGATGTTTTATATCTAGATTTGGATACATGACGACGTTTGTAACTGCTGTCCAAGAATGATGATCCATTCCAAAAATTTTGCTGTGTTTACATACCTGTTTGCCATTCTGAAAATCTTGTTTCTTGATAGTTTATTCATGGAGGACATACTGCAAAAATTTCTGATTTCTCCTGGAATCCAAATGAACCATGGGTAATCTGTTCTGTATCAGAAGACAATATTATGCAAGTTTGGCAGATGGTGAGTGCTAGCCTTACAGGATCGCCTATAGGTTATTCAAGAATTTTGGTCTAAATCTTAATTACTTTTGACAAATTTTTAATGACATTTGCATTTTAATTGTCAATAAAGAAAATTTATGTAAACCTCAGTCATCATATTCCAGGTTGTAAATTTTATAATTAAATGTTCAAGTCACAAAGTTATGTAGTTTAACCATATTTGTTGCAGCTTGATTGTGATTTTTCTCTTTCAGGCTGAGAATATTTACAATGATGAAGAACCTGATACACCTGCATCTGAACTTGAGAGCCAAGGATCATAAACCCCATTTGACACCACCTCTTTTTTTAAAAAAAAGTCTAAGATTGTTTTAGACTGATAATCCTAACAACCATTTTCCAAGCAACCTTTTTCCACTGGAATGCTGAGGCTTGTATATAAAAAGCACTTATGCAAATTCTGACGTGCAACTCCTTGCTTTTCCACGGGTGGCGTACAGAAATTTGGAAGTGTTTTGAGAATGCAGTGCCTGATTTATACAGTAGTATGTATTCCTTAGTATGTATAAAAGTTTATTGATAGCTGCTTAAGCACAAATGTGTACACTTGTGTGTTGCGGTGTTGCGTAATATACAGTTTGACCCTGAAATGTGATTGGCAGTAGGGGCACTAATTCAGTGTGCATGTAATTTGGTTCCAATGGAAGAGAGTTAAAATTGCTGAAATCTCTGTAAAGCAATGTTGTCTTTCAACTCAAAAGCTGAAGAGTATTTTTTTAAAATTCAGTGTACATATTTCAACACATGAAAGTCTTTTGGTTTACTTCTGCCTAACTCCCTCCAGCCCACCAACGTACACTTACACTATAGTGGTTCAAGGTACCATTGATTTTCCAGCTTATTCTGAAAGCACGTAACAACATGCCCACAAGTTTGAAATAACTAGAAATTATTCCATATCAAAGTATGCATTTTGATTTGCATTTTGATTTACATTTTATAATCGAGCATAAGGTGATGAAATGCTGCTGCTGCAGTCTTCAGTAGTTGAGAGCTAACTTTCTTTAATGTGGTGGTTTTCTTACACTCCCTTGAAGCTCGGATATCTGTACAATTAAGAATTCCGGTAGACATTTGCTTCTGTGTTTTCCTTTGTTAAACAACTGCATCTGTGCACATTGTAGAGCAGGGATATATAAACAATAAACCTTTTGTAATAATTTTCAACTTAGCTTTGCTTTTTAACATGTAAACATCAAAGGTAGAAACTGATCAACCACTAATCATATGAAAAGTTAATTTGCAGTTTGATTTTGTAAATCTTGTGAATGAAATTTATAGTCACATGTCCAAGTAGAAATTAACAAATGCTGCACCGGTGTTTTCAGTTTCTCTCTCAATCTCCTCCCCCCACCCCCGCCACCACCACAGCTTCTGCTGTAAAATGCTAATTAAGTGGATACCTATTCACATAGCGTAAATAGTAGAACATCCAGCCTCTCAAACATGCTCAACCATTTAATATGATCACGGCTGATCTTTCTGCCTCTTCCACAGCTTTGATTCTCAGTCTAAAAATCTGTTACCTTCAATCTTCTGGGATAGAGAAGTGCAAAGATTCACAATCTTTGATTAGGACATTTCTTAATCCAAAAGGTTCTATTGCCTTATCCCAAGACTTTGTCTCTGTTCTAGATTCTCAAGACAGGAGAAACAGTTCTTTCCTTATCAAGTCCCTTCAGTATCTTTTTAATGTATTGTGTACAGTCTGGTCACTGCACTACCAGAAGCATGTGGATGCTTTGGAGAGGGTACAGAAAGGATGCACCAGGATGTTACCTGGTATGGGAGATTTTGGCTACGAAGAAAGGTTGGATAGACTGGGTTTGCTTTCACTGTAATGCAGGCGATTGAGGGGGTGACCTAATGGAAGTTTATAAAGTTGTAAATGGCATGGTAGTGGAACATGTTGAGGCTTTTTCCAGGGTGGAGGGGTCAATTATGAGGAGACAATAAGTTGAAGGTACAAGGTGGGGTGTGTGTGTGTGGAGTTTGATGTACGAGGCATGTTTTTCCATACAAAAGTGGTGAGTGCCTGGAACACGCGGTTGGTGGTGGAAGCAGAGACAGTAGCAGTATTCAGGAGGCACCTAGACAAGTATGTGAATAGGAAGGGAATAGAGGGATACAGATCCTGTAAGTGAAGCCAGCTTAGTATGGAAGAACAAAATGTGGTGGCGCAGACTTGGAGGGCTGAAGGGCCTGTTCCTGTGCTGTGGTGTTCTTTGAAGTCACCTTTTTTTGTTTTTTCTGATCACTGAACAGTTACTTGATTTCACGACCTTGGAGGTGAAGCAGAAAGGTAAGAGAGCACAATTTAAATTATGTACACCCTCCACTTTCAAGGATTATTACTCGAGGTCTGTCCACATTTATATAGAAACATCAACCACCTGTGATGCTAAATTAGCAGAAGAAATAGAAAGTTGCAAGTTCAATGCAGAAAGAATGTGTTGTAGTAGTCTTTGTTCACCAATAGTTTATTTGTGACATCTCTCTGAGGTATGATCAATGGGCTGAAACCGAGGGATGGGTACTGTGTAGGATGTCAATTTGTTTGCAAAATTGATAATGGAAAGAATCTTGTACTATAAAAGCAGATCACCATTCTAGTAATATAAATGAGATGTGCTTTTGGAATGGCTGATGTTCTATACAGTATTAAGTATTTTGCAAACTTTTGCTGGTTTGAGCAGAATTAATATAGAAATGGAATATAGTATTTTCTGTCCCATGAGCCTGTCTGGTCCTGTTGACCTCTAGGTAGACTTGCACACGCACACTGGGATTTCTTCCATAGAGTCTGAGTTATACAGCATGGAAATGGGCCCTTTGGCCCAATTCATTCATGCCAATCTCTTTGCCTACGAGTGGTCCTTATCCTGTTTAAACCTTTCCTCCTATCCATGTACCTGTCCACATGTCTTTTAAATGCTGTCATCATAGAGAAATCTCATAATTTCAAAACTCAATGTTAATACCCTTGACAAACAATTGATCTGGCATCAATTGCCATCAGCAGGAGAGAGCGAAACTTTGAGCACTTCTAGGAAGAAGTGTTTTCTAATGTCACTGCTGAGGGGTCTGATTCTAATGTTTGGATTGTAATATTTGAGGAATATAAACTCAAGTTGGTAATTGAGATTGTAACAGCTTGAAATACAGGATGATTTTTAAATGTTAATTGACACATCCATTAACATTGGTATTCAAGTATATGCTGCATTTACACTTAAATGTGATCAGCAACAATCTATTTGGACTGCTTATCACTGTGGTACAATTTAACTGAAAAGTAATCATTTAATATACCATTTAATTAATCTAAACCTGTAACACAGTTTGAATTCAAATATTTTGTTGATTTAAAATTCAAATGTAATTTCCATGTCTCTCTGGTTTAATAATCTAGACATTTGAAATATGTGGAGATGTTTTTTTTTGAAAAAGTGGCATGTTAAGATTCATGGCTAATTCTGCAACTTTGACTTACAGTTGAAATCCTCTTAAACTATTTCCTTTATGTATTTCGGTTTGTGGAGTTAATGCTGAACCACAACTGTTAATAATACTTGATAGCTGAAGTCAGTTCACAATGTCGGTGCTTAAACTTCATGCTTTCTACACGCTTGATCTGCCACAGGCATAACATCAAGCCATGGTTTTATCACAACTTCACCTTCATTCCAAAAGGATAAACTGAAGCAATATGACTTAAAAACATCAATGTTCCATTCTTCCTCAATCTTCTGAAGAAAGAAATGTTTCCACACATCAGGTTTTGCATGCTTTCTAGTTCTTGAGCAGTTTATAAGTGTCTTCTTGGAGAAATGGTGCAAGGATTAAGATTTTTGCTTATTGCTGACCTTGGCCATTTAGATAAAGGGATACAAAGTAAACAGACCATGGTCCTGTCTGCTAAGACCTAGAAAATGGAGAGTGGAGCAAGGAGGTGAGAGATTGATAGAATCATTTACTTGTAAAATTGTCCCAGACAAAGTTACTCTGAATTCCTGAATTGCCCTGTATAAGAAATGCTGCAAAGTGAATCAAAGTCAATGTTTCACAAATGTGATGAACAATATTAAGTGTGGATCTCTGTTGCTTTACGCTCCATTATTGAAATACCACTTGGAAACCAGGAGCTGCATTGCTATCAATTAATATGAATGTGGGTAAATGAAATGTCAATTTCACTGAAATAACACTTGAAAACAAAACAATAAGAAACCAGTTCAATAACACAAAAAACTTTCTAACCTGAAGTGTACATGACAAAAGAAACCAGCAATAGTTATTATCTATACTTATATTTGATTTGCTTTGTACATGTCCTTAGTAAATAACATTAGATTCACATTTCCGGAATTCTACAAAACTTGTGAAAATTTGAAAACAAGACTGTGCTGACCACCCATTCAAATACTTGCCCAAACCCCTGAAAAAAATAAAACTGATTTTAAGCATTGACGATTTCTGCCTCACATTGTTTCACAGTAATTCTCTGCTACAATCTTCAGAGGTAGATTTTTTTGTTCTCATCATCACCTGAGGTTTCAACCACAGCATTCCCAGTTAAATGTGTAAATGCATTGTCAGTACAGCGTACTTTGCCACAGGTAAAACACTGATCAACACAGACAGCAAACCCATTCTAATCAGGCAGTACTAGGAAGACATGCTATGCACCAAACAGCTCCTATTTTTGCGTTTGCACACGCAAAACGTTAAACATTCAAAGTAGAAATACAATCTGTATTTTTTTTTTTAAAAAACTTAAATAGTTTCAGATTTTGAACTGCAGTAAAATCTGGATTAGAAGCTGCATCTTTATTCTTCACAAAGTAGGAAGACCAATATTAAAAACACATCTTTCAGAAATCATTGATTAATTGTTATGACAGCAGTTTCAAGGAAACATACTGAAATATCCAGCATAAAGCATTATTTTCAGTACAGAAAATAATTATGTCCAATTCCCCTTTTCCCTCCCCATTAGAAACTGCAGCCTCTAACCTCTAAGTCAGTGTGATTTTTAAAAGATGAATTGAACAAATTTGTAGTTGACTCACATTAATCCAGTCAAGTGCAAGGAACAGCAGCTTAAAAACAATCCAGTCACCACCTCTTACCAGTTATGAAACATTTGTATAATAATGCTATTTCTTTCCTTTCCAATCTTGATTTGTTTTAGGCTATGGCTTTGAGGCTTGACAAACTCCTAACACTTTTACCTTCACATGCAAGCTAGGACCAGTGTGTGTCATAGTCGATGACAAAATCGTAACCTTTCTGTAACCTAAAATCCACCTATACTTTACAGCAAGAGTTTCACTGATTTTGTTTTCAAGAGGGAAATCCTGATTGTTCACTTTTTAAGTTGAAGTCCAAGTAAAATGAGGTCAATTGTTGCCCCACACTCCCAATGTGATAATCACAGGTTAGTTTAGGCAGCAGAAAGAAAGGAGTGAAATCACCTGATAAGACACTAGGGGGTGTTAAACATAAAATGTGAACAGAATAATAATGAACCTGAATTGCTTAAATCGCATCAATCTCAATTATGAAAACCAACCAAATTATTTTACCTCATTAGCTAGAAAGGTACACTTATTTTCACTGGATTTTTCACTTTGTGTAGAGTCCTACTTACATAAAAATTAAAATTGATGCAAGTCTTCCTAAAGGAAACCTGTAGAAAGTTTACGCAAGTTTCTTTAATACAAGAGAGATTTGGTCTGTTTGCCCAATATTATTCATGAAACTTCTAAACTTGTTTGGGTAGCTTTAGCAAAAATTTAAAATTTCAATATTAATGTGCTTCTACAGATATTGTTTCTGTACAAGTAATTATACTAAACTTTTTTGTCAAAAAAAATGCAGCAAGCCTCTTCAAAAGTTATTAAAAAACAGTTTAAGTGCTATGGACAACTTTACCATACAAGTGAAATGGGGTTTGGACCAGTTACAGCTGGGATGCAATTTCTGAAGTAATTTTAAGACATTTGGAACAAATGCAAAGGATCTAAGAGTTGGTCAATTATATAGATCCGAAGGAAATCATCTGTGTATCTCGATTAATCACACTGCCCAATTATGCTGCTTAAGAGACATTCAATTTCACATTTCTAAGTTTAAATCATTTGATCAATATAGTTTGTACTATGTATCTTAATTACAATCTCACAACAAACAAATCACAAAGCAGCATTTTGTGCTTCTGCCTGATTAAAAACTGACCTTTAATAGACAATAAAGCTTTCTTAAAATCTTAGATAGGAAATGATAGCAATTTTGCAAACTGATGTCAAACTTACATATCAGTGTTCAGTCAGTGAGGTATCTTTAGTACTGAACAATACAGCAGCAGGCTCAAAATATTCTAACCTGGGCTGGAGTAGTTTCATGATGACTAGTTGAGGAGGCATTATTTACTTTCTCTGACAAGTTGCTAGACACTTTTACATTAAGTATTATCTAAAGCAGGCAGTAATACTGCTGGCCAAGTGCAAATAGCAAAAAGTGGATATAAACGTGAGCTAGCTACCTTACAGATTGGATTGTGCTAACTCATACTTTTCATTGTTAAATTGAAAACTTTATCCTAACATATGAAAATCATGATCAGGGACTTAAATTGCTCACAATTGTAGAATGCATACAAATTGGTTACTGACATTAAGGTGCTGACTGCATTCAAACAAGGGAATTTTTTCAGCACGATAAATAACCATCTTAAACAGTGATATCAATTAAATCACATTATATCTGCTTTAGATTAGATTATAGCCAGTATTGAAGGAATTGTAAGTAACTGCTCGATTTCACCATCTTATTTGAAATGCATATGAAATATTTTACTGATAGTTTGCTAGAAAGTCAGCCTGTAGTACCATTAGTAATGATGCTAAACTACAGGGAAATGGCATCAAAATTCTCTGCACTGGGGTACGAAAAATACCAGTTGGTTTGCCTTTTCCCATCACATACCAAAACAAAGTCTAGTATTAAGAATGGCTTCTAACAGCAGTCTTTTTCTAGCTAACGCGTGAGAGATGCCAGACTGTTTTCTTGTATCTGGCTGTTCCAGGTCTCTACTCAATTTTTATAGTTGCATTAAGTGCATCTTAAATACAGAACATAGTGGTACATCAATCCACTCTATTGTGGATTAAATACATTACATAAAATATGCTCTGATTTTAATGATGGGGAAATTATCAGACATTTCAATGTTGAAAACAGGATAAAATGCTATGAGATAACAAGGTGTAGAGCTGGATGAACTCAGCAGGCCAAGCAGCAAAGCTGACGTTTCGGGCCTAGGCCTGAAATGTCAGCTTTCCTACTCCTCTGATGTTGCTTGGCCTGCTGTGTTCATCCAGCTGTACACCTTGTTATCTCAGATGCTCCAGCATCTGCAGTTCCTACTATCTCTAAAATGCTTTCTGCTCAGTTTTAAATAAACTTAATACTTTGCCCAAATACATGACTGATTACCAGGGAGAAAAGTGGCCATTCGCAAGCATTGTTTGGAATGTGGTTTTGAGCACCTTCTCAACTTGGTGTGTTTTTCCCTGAATGTCACCAGAACTGCTGTATCTTTTCAATAGGTCAGTAACTGAACTTCAGATTCAATGGAGGTCATTAGTCTCTGATTGTAGAGCAAGCAGCCATGGGTTTATTGCTTGAATATTAAACAGGAACTACTCGAAATAGGCATAGACTTTTGCTTTTGAAATCTCTTGGCATTCACAAATATGCTTTGCTGAATCCTTTCAGTTCCTAGTACCACAGTGTGTTGATGCATCCAATAGGATGGAAAACCAACTTTGCCATCTTCCAGAGATGGTAAGAACTGCAGATGCTGGAGTCAGAGATAGCACAGTATGGAGCTGGAAGAATGCAGCATCAGAGGAGCAGGAAAGTAGATATTTCGGATCTGAAACGTCAACTTTCCTGCTCCTCCGAAGCTGCCTGGCCTGCTGCGTTCTTCCAGCTCCATACTGTGTTATTTTTGCTATCTTCCAAATAGTTCTTTGTCTTGTTCTGTAAATTTGGTTGTAGAATACCGTAATCCATAGCACGTTGCAACTTTCAGTTGTGCACTAGCAGTATAGAAAAACTGGTACTTTTGCTCCATCTTCCCAAACAATTTCTACTCACTCTTAAACTGATAGGAACATGAACCCAATGAGCATTCCTGTTGTGTGAAGCCTGAGGACAAGTTTTGTTCAGGCTGCTCCAGATTTAAAGCTTTCGCTAGACAAAGATAAAATCTGTTAAGTCCTGTGAGTTACTACACACATTTCAGCAACTCAAGATGACGACTATACCAAAAAGTACATAGCGCTTGCCCTCTCCAAAACAAAAAAATTGGCTGTAAAGGCTATTGTTTGTTTCAAGAGATATCAGGATGTTCCTAAATTTGGAGTGGTCTGTTTTCATGACATAAAAAAAAAATGCAATGTCTCAAAATAAAAATACATATTCATGAGGTTTGTAGGTTCGCATTTCATAACATTCCAGAGAGAGAAACATAAGGATGTGTAAAGAACAAAGAGGACAAGTGGAATGTTTGACATTTCAAATACTTGCACTAGCACGGCAACTGTCTAGGTAGCAGAGGAAACCAATAAGTAACATTTCTTCCTTATGCAGCACATTCCCATGGACTGTGCAGCAATGGCACAATTCAGTGGGAATACTGCATAAATTGTCCAGTTGATTGAAACTAACAGGAAAAGTTTCATAAAATATAGCACTTGGCAACAGTATTTCATGAGTAATTGTTGTGTACTCAATTTCTAATGAAAACATTATGGTGGATCTTTACGAATCAGTTTCAAACTCTTACAACTGCAGAGCAGTTTCCTCAACATTCTTTCCTGAATGAGGAGGTTAGAAATTCTTCATAATGATTATCCCCATAGCTATTTTATAAATGAGTCGGTAAAAGAGATAAAATGATAAGTGTCAAGGCCATTTGTCATTGGGACAAATCAGCACAGAATACTGTTTTACAGAAATGACAGAGTGAGGAAGAGGAAGCCAGTAGTGAGATATGGAAAACAGCTAAATACCGTACATGAAAATCTGACTAACTAAAACAGGGCTTGAATCAGCACTTCTGAAATGAGAATTGTATTGTGTAATAGTTAATACATTGATAGAGCTGTTTGTAATGTTACAGTTTCAAAGATAACTATGTCAGTTAAAAAGTGACAGAGTCTTGTAATCAATTGTCTCTTTTCACGTCCAGGGCTCAAATTAGTCAGTCAAGTTACCCAGCATTTATAAAGTATTTGACTGGGTATGGAGGGGTGAGGGGGTTGCTTAACATGCTTATTTATAGAAGCTAAAAGTCCCTGCTATGGTTGAAATGTGTTTCACCAGTAACCTCTATAGGACCCCACCGTTCACAGTGTTTAACCAGTGTTCATTTTCCATCCACAATAACTGAGGCCATAGGTCTACCACTAACAGCTTTGGGCTTATTAGACACAGATGCACCAGATATACAGACTGTCAAAATTAATTTGATTTAGAACTCTTGGAGCCAGGGACACAGGATTTTTATCTCCTTAGCTTTGGTCTAGATTCAAATCCTGAGGTGAAAGGATAGTGCAGTTACCACAGCTACATTTCGAAAACAAATCATGTCAGCGAAAACTCTCTGAAATATAAATGAAGGAAAACAATAAATTAAAAGGCAGCTTTGACCAAATAAGCTACAAAACAAAGTTTTTTTTTTAAGGTCAATTGCTACTAACATATTAGGGTCGTCTCCAATGCTAGGACATTAGAGCTTTGCAAACTAACAAAAATATTGACGAGAGAATGGCCTACAAAATTAAGCTCAATCCCAACACATTTAAAGGGTCATGATCCACTGAAAGCTTCTTTCTGATACAGGCACATGAAGATGACTTACTAGAAAGGTACAGGATACACTGCTAATGGACCCTGTTTCCTATCTGCCTTTATTCATCTGAAGCAATCTACAATCAGAGACCACTATGCTACGCTCCAACTCCTAACATTAGATGTTTCCACATCTGTTAAACGTTTCACTCAAGAAACAGTGCTTTGTGGAAGCTCAAGAGCCAAAAAGCACAATGTCAGAAAAACGAACAGCAATCCTTTCTGTGGAAGCATGTCCCGACCAAATATATCCAGTTGCACCTACATTGTGAAAAAACAAGCTCAGTTTTTAAAATAAAAAGTCACTCATCTGTTATTAAAATTACATGAAATGTTTACATCTCAGTCCAAGTATTAAATGTTGAGGTGGATTGCAATGTCAAAAATTTCAATTTTAAAAATGAAGCAATTATAATCAATTATGAAAATTTATAAAGTAGACTAAACTTGACCCACCATACAACTACTTGAACCACATAAATTCCTTTTTCCCCTAAGAAAATACAGATATGGTAGAAAAATGTGTAAGAAATTCTCACCACAAAGCCAATAATTACGAAGAACAAGTCAAACAATAATTACACAAAAATATATAACTCCACACAATTCTTTAAAACAGATAGTTTTAGTCAACAGAATCTATGCCCGAAGCCACAACTTCATTTTCTAGTTCTCCAGTTGAACGTTCCTGATCTAAAATAGCTGCAGCATGAGACTGACTTCCAACTTCCTCTTGACTCGAAGTGTTCACCACCGCCAGCTCGGGGGGATCTGGGGTCTTGCACGGCTGATATTCTTCTTCCGTCAGCTGTAAAGGCCGATCACTTCCTGAAAGCTGACATTGAAGAAGCTGCACTTTTTTATTCAGGTCATTTCTCTCCGTCTGCAGCGCCCTGCAAAGCTTTTCCAGCCGCTCCAGTTTCACCTGTAGACCTTTGTACTCCTTGTCTCGAAGCGTCTTCTGTTTTAAAACAGCAAAAATAATCTTAAGCCTTTCTTTGATGTGTTACAAATTCAAGCCACTTACTTTATAACGGCTAAGAAATGCTAGAAGGGTGCGCTGCACTGTCAGAGGTGCCATCTTTTGGATGAGATATTAAACCAAAGCAGTGTCTGCCGTCTGATCAGAAATGGTTCAGCGGCATTACTCTTAAGTGAACGGAGGTGCTTCCCTGGATTCTGGTCAATATTTATATCACATGCACAATACCAAAAGAGAGATCTGGTCAATGACTGTTTATGGAATCTCAGTCTGAACAAATTACTTGCTGTGTTTCCTATCTTACAATAGTAGGATTTCAGGAGGTCATAATTGGCAGTATTTTGGGGGATTCTGAAATCATAGAATCCCTACAAGTGTGGAAGCAAACCATTCGGCCCATCGAGTCCACAGCAACCCTCTGAAGAGCATCCCACCCAGATCCCATGCAGCCAAAACATGTCTTCAATCTTGTTACCTTACAAAACATCTATTAAATGTCAGAAACTAGTTTGGAAAACCGATTGCATCCTGTCAGCAAAGAACAGAGAGTACGTGGTTGGTCTGCTAAATCCCTGGAGAGGGTGTACAAGTTTCATTAGTTCAGATATCCATCTACATATTAAAAATATAGTTAAAAAAGGGCAAGAAGAGGGACAACACTGGTTTAAAAATTTTTTTCTTTTTTTTTTTAAAGAAGAGCTCAAACATTTCTGGGTGTTAACGAAGTAGAATGCAGAATGTTATCATGAACAGTGACTAGCAGTAAATATAGGGCTGTTACTCAAGACTGCTGACTAACCCATCAGCTTGTGATCATCATTTAGTTCCCACATTGTCTCTGCCACAATATTAACTGGTATCAGAGCTGCAGAAAGAGCTTTATCACTCCAGTCAACTTCCATACAGCATTGCAACTGAAAATATTTTTACATCAGGAAATGAAACAGCTCCTCCATACTACCAAATGAAATGACAAATGTAGAAACAGACTACTGCAGTTAAAAATATTTGCCTCCTATTCACAGGAGCTCAGTGGCACAGTCAAAAAAAAGCCATATTTTAATGCAAAAATGATAAATGATGCTAACTAACATTTATTTTCTGAAGAATAGTCCTCAACACATAGTCCCTTTATGTTGGGCAGAGAAGAAAATTTTGGACAACTTGCTGAACAAGCAGTTTTTTTGTTAAAATGCATATATAGTGTAGAAATTATGGCATTCGCATGAATGGGAGAGTGACTTGTACAGAAGGAGCAGAATTTTGTTCCTACAGATTTCCAAAATATCTGCCACGTCCGATGTGGAGCAGACAGTGTTCTTTCAATATCAATGTTCCTGCAGGGCCCTACAGGGTCATTGATAAATTTAAGCATACACCACACTTTCAAGCCAAGGGAAGGATAATGCAGATTTTCTGCATTCTCTTTCAATTGTTAATAGTTTCCAGTCTGTGGATGTTTTGTAAAGCCAAAACACACTCTTGAAAAGAAAAGGATTGAGGTGTAATGTTTCTGAGGGAAGGCATGGAGCTCAATGGAATCCTTTGTCCATTGCATCTCCTAACCTGTGCCTCCATCCCAACTTAAGCGTATCGGTTTGTTAATTCAAGAAAATTTCGAATTTCATCGCTTTCCGTGTTTTGTTGACTATGTTCTAAAGTTATAGAGGACCTGCTTTTTATGAAGTAGGTATTTAGAAAAATCAAAGTGACACATCCAGAACTAGCACCTTTTGTGCAAAGAAATACCTGCGCAGTACAAATACAACACACAGCTCTTCATTGTCATAGTTCACATTAACAATTAACAAAAGTAGTGCACACCTCCTCAGCCATCTGTAAGAGTGCTTTGTTATTGTTCTCCCACTTAGTGCGCCATACAGTGGTTTCTTTTTCCAGCTTCTTGATTTTCTTCGTCATCTACATAAGAAAGACAGACAAGACTCTGTTCAATGCGACATCTCACTGAAACATGTTTTACCCTCTCCAAAGGCAATGCTTGCATAAACTGCAAATGGGGTTTATGTTTTCAATGATTCATCTATTCTCTTGCTTCTAAAATAACCTAATTCATCTGGTTTAAGAGTGAGCATCAACTGAACAGATCTGTGGTCCGAGCTACGAATTGCGGCATAACGCCATCAAGGGTCAGAGACGCATCATAAATTGGAATTGTTGGGGAGGGAGATGGTGCTGTGAAAGGATTTATGTGGTATTTTTCTGTCAATTTTATTGCAAAATGTCCTAGTTCTGTTTTTAGTTGATGTAAGGTAGATTTACAGCATGCAATGCACAACACCAAGAACATAGTTATGTTAAAATCTCACCATTAATGCCAGACAAAAAGCAGTATTTTTAAATGTTCTTTCATGGATGTATCTGTCACAAATTGGCTGGCATTTATTGCCTATCCCCAAATGCCTTGGAGAAGGTAGTGGCGAGCTGCGTCTAAGTGCTATACAAATACCTACAATGCTGTTTTGGACAGATTTTTGAACTAGTGAGTGAAGGAATGGTGATTTAATTCCAAAATCAGGACGGAATGTGGCTTGAAGGGGAACTTGCAGGTGATGGTGTTCCTGTGCATCTGCTGCCCTTGTCCTTCTAAGGAGTTGCAAATTTGGAAAGTGTTGTCAAAACATCCTTGGTGAGTTAGTGCAGTGCATCTTGTGCCCACTACTGCTGCCACTGTACGTCTCTACTGGAGGGAGTGAATGTTTGCAGATCTGCTGTTAACCACATGGGCAGCTTTGTCCTGGATATTGTTGTTTCTGAAGTGCTGCTTGAATTGCACTCATACAGGAAGCTATTCTATTCCAACACATTCCAAACTTGTGCTGTGTAGATGGTGGACAGGCTTTGGCGAGCCAGGAGGTAAATTAATTGGGGCATCTTGTAACCATAGTATTTATATAGCTGGTCCATGTAAGTTTCTGGTCAATGGTGATGACCAGGATGTTGACAGTGGGAGAATTAACAATAGCAATCAAATTGAACATCAAGGTGAGATGCTTAGATTCTCTCTTTATGAAGATGATCATTGCCTGGCACTTGTGTGCCTGAATCTGGCCCAGATGTTGCAACATTCAGACACAAACTGCTTCCATATCTGTCGTGAATGGTGCTGAACATTGTGCAACCATTCCCACTTCTGACCTCATGATAAAGGGAAAGTCACTGAAGCAGCTGAAGGTAGTTGGGATTAGGACACTATCCTGAGGAACCCAAGGGCTCCATACAGTGTGTATTATCTACAGGACATACTACAGCAACTCGCCAAGGATCCTTTGACAACACTTTCCAAACTTGTAACCATGTAGAAGGACAAGGACGGCAGGGGTTTAGGTACAGTGATAGTGTCTACCCCTGAGTCAGGAGATCAAGGTTCAAGTCCCATCTGCTCCAGAGGTGCATCGTAGCAACTCTGAATGGGGAGATTAGATAGCAGCCAGCCTGAGGAGTTCCTGTACAGATGTCCTTGGACTGAGCTGGCTGATGTCCAACAACCATAACCATCTTCCTTTGTGCCAGCTATGGCCTCCAACCAGTGGACTATTTAGCCTGAATCTCCACTAACTTCAGTTTTGATACACCTCCTTGAAGTCTCACACTGTCCTTGTCATCAAGGCAATATTTGACAGTCACTCTCACCTCACCTCAGAAGTTCAGTGTTTTGGACCATGTTTGAACTAAAGCTGTGGTGTGGTCAGGAGCTGAAGGGTCCTGGCTTAATCCAAAGTGACAGTCAGTGGAGACAAAGTTTTTATTGTACAGAAACAGGCCCTTTGGCCTATTGTGTCAGTGCTGGTAATCAAACATCCATCTTCTCTAATCCAAATTTTCCAGCACTTAGCCTGTGCTCTTGTATACCTTCCAAGTGTACATCTAAATATCATAAATGTCTAAGATTCCCCATTCTCCCACCCTTTTAGCCAGTGTCAGATACTCACAGCTCTCTGGGTGAAAAAGACTGTCCTCAAATCATCTCTAATTCTCCTGCCCCATACCTTAAAACTGCAACCCCTGTTACCGGCCCATCCTCAAGGGGGAAAAGATTCTCCCTATTTACCCTGTCTACGCCCCTCAGAGCTTTATACACCTCAATCAGATCAGAGAATAGAATCACAGAATCATTACAGTGCAGAAAGAGGCCATTCAGCCCATTGGTTTGCAATTATTCTCCAAAGAGTATCCAACCCAAACCCAGCCGCCCCCCGCTCCACACTATTTCCATAACCCCGCATTTTGACCGTAGCTAATCCAACCAACCGGCACATTTCTGGACACTGCGGGGCAATTTAGTACAGCCACTCCACCTAACCTACACATCAATGGACTGTGGGAGGAAACCAGAGGACCTGGAGGAAACGCAAACTCCACACAAACTCACCTAAAAGCTGGTATCGAAGTTGGGTTCCTCACGCTGTCAGGCAGCAGTGCTAACCACTGAGGCAGCCTCTGCCTTCTCTGTTGAGGAAAACAACCCCAGCCTATCCAGTCTCTCTTTATAGGTGAATCGGCCCAATCCAGCAGACATCCTGATGAGTCTCTTCTGCACTCTCTTTAAAGCAACGCCATCCTTTCTATAGCGTGGCAGCCACAATCTCTCAGTGCATCAGCTGTGGCCTAACTAACATGGTATACAGCTCCATCGTGACCTCCTTGCTCTTGCATTCAATGCTTTGACTAATAAAAGCAAGTATCCCATTTACCTTCTTAATCAGCTTATTTGCTTGTCCTGCTGCCTTCAAGGACCTACGGACATGCATACCAAGGAAGCCTTTGTACTTACTTAGGTCCTGCCATTCAAAGTGTACTCCCTTGCCTTATGAGTCCTCCCAAATTTCATCACCTAACACCTTTCAGGATTAAATTTCCATCTGCCACTGTTCAATCCACCTGATTAGTCAGTCTATATCATCCTGTAGTCTGAGGCTTTTCTCCTCACTATTTACCACACCAATTTTCATATCATCTGTGAACTTGATTGATTATACCATCTTCTGCTTTCATGTCAAGATCATTGCGGTACACCACTGGAAACATCTTTCAACCACCACCCCCCGCTTCCTGGCATTAAGCACTGCTTATAGCACAGTCCCCTCGTTTTTCTAATGATGGAGAGTAGACAGGTAGGGTGGGAAGTGACTGGGTTGGATTTCTCCTTGTAGTTTGCTGACAGGGGTGTACCTGGGCAATTCGCCACATTTCAGTACATGCCAGGTGTCGATGCAATAAGAAATTTTACACTGCGTGGATACCAGACATGTAGAAGAAATAAATCAACTTCAGAACTGAGATTTGCTTTTTTGAAAAAACACACCAACTTTCTGTGTGGCCCCTTTATAAATTCAACGCTTCAGTTAAGAGTCTCCAAAGTTAATTGGAGAAATCTAAAAGCCAAATACTGTAAATAGTAGAAATTTGACAGCATCAGAAAATGCTGGAAATTAACAGCAAGTTGGGCAGCATCTGTGGAGAAAGGAGGAAAGTTAACATTTCATCAATGCTCACTAACCCCAGTGACATGAAGTCCCACACTAATGAGGATGGTTGCCCTCCGACATGCCTTAGCAAGACACTGGATGGCAGGGCAGGTTCAAGGTGGTGGCCCGTTATCACCTTTTCAGAACAACTAGGGACAAGGCAATAAATGTCAGCTCGTGCAACTCGTTTCAGTGCCATTCACTTTGCATTGTGTGTTCTGCGCCTACAGAATTGCATGATAGATAAATACAGGCCTCCACATCTAGTCCCCAGTACCCCAATCTGGATGGAAGGCTTCAAACTTTAGTGTAGCTTAAAATAAAGAGTAACTTGCAATATTTCAGCCTCTTTGATTTCCCTGATATTTGGAATCTACAACATTTTGCATTGTAAGCCTGTAAGTGAATAGCACTGAAGTTACAGATTGAATTTGCTGTGTCAAAGTCATGCTGGCATTAACTTGCATCTATCTCAAGTTGCTGATTTTGAAGCAATAATTTATTCATCAAATGAGAAATGATTGCTTTCTGAACTTGAAGAGTACAAAATTCAATGAAGACATGAAAGCAATAAAATAAGGCAGAATCAGAAAATTAGAAAAAAAAATTAGAGAAATCTAATTGCCTAGGAGGTTGATGGCTCACTTATGATGAAGTTGAAATAAGTGAAGAGAGAAACATTGGTAACACTGCCTTTACCTTTTCCATTTCTTGCCTGAACGTTGTAAAAACTTCATTGCTCTTTGCCAATGTGCTCTGGAATTCTTCAAACTTATCCATATACAGGGAAAGCTACAAAACAAGAAGCATCACACATATAATACATTAATGGATGGTTAGGTAACATTATTGCAACAATTCAAAATTAAATATCAGTTATTTGTTGGTTGTTGTCACTTCAAAAGTATCATGCAGTGAGTTCAATTTATTATCTTCCCGCACTGAAATCTCAAATCTTCCCATGTCGTCTCTCTTCCTGTTGTTTTTTTTTTTTTAATAATTTCACTTAGTTTGTTCTGCTCCCATAGTGAATATATTATTCTTGGAATTTAACCACCTTCTTTCTGAATGTTACAGACAGTGAGATGGGTCTTTCAATGGGAATGATTATCCTACATATCCGGAAGTAACTGTTATTAGGTACCAGCTAAGGCACTGAAAGGTGAAGAGTTTGCTGGAACATACCTGCTGTTTCAGTTGTGCCTCCTGCTGCTTCATCAGTTCACATTTGTGCCTCAATTCAGTAGCTTCCTTTAGCAGCTAGAAAAATAGAACAAAAATAAATAGGTAATTTCATAAAGTGTTACACAGCACCTTCATATTTAGGATGGCAGAGCCTTTTGATCTGATTTGATTTATTGTCACATATACCTAGGTACAGTGAGAAGTTTTGCTTTGTGTGCAGTACAGGCAGATCATAACATACAAAGATCACAGGGCGATTAAACAGAGCGAGGAATAGGATGTTACCGGTGCAAAGAAAATGCAAAAACAGCAAGATCAACATTAGATGTGAACTCCTTTCAGTTCTGTTAATGGCCACATTTCTAGACAAGGAGGGAGAAAAAAATACTCGCCTACTTCTTTCGGAATCATGTAACCTATTGGTTACACTGATACATGCTGGGAGCACGGGCAGTGCCCAAATAGGGTTTCCTCTCGGGATTTAGCCTATTGAGTCTTTTGGGATCTTTGGAACCCATTTATATGTACTGGAGATCTCCAGAAAATAAAAGTAATTCAAAAACATGTTGATAAGAGATGGCAGTCAAAATTTAGGCAGGTGTAGCTGACCATACTGACAGCGGAGTTTCAAAGTAATTTGAAATGAAGTTTTTAAATGTAATGGGAGAATTAAGTCCAAGGAGGAAAATTTTTCTGGATCATTAATTGAAAACCTCAGTTACGTACTGTTCTCTAAAGGAAGTAGACATGGCGTGCAGTGTTCATCATGACTTGCACTACTTCTGCACATTTTTCTGAGAGATAAAATTAATTTCTACATGTAAACATCTGGCTCATCTCTTTTAGCTTCTGCAATGCATCCTTTCCTGAAATGAGGCAAACAAATGACTCGCAAGCAAGTGCCTATGGCACTATATTGCCTATGGCACTATATTGCCAATGGCTGAGTAATGCAAGAGTAGCCCTGAGATAAATCCCGAGGCTATTTATAACTTGATACCAATCACAATTTCACTGCAATGTGAAGAATGAGAAGCGGTATGCCAGCACATAGCTACACAAACAGCGCACCAACAGAATGTCTTTTCATTTTAACACTATTAGCAAATACACTATGTATGGGAGAGCATTCTCAATCACAGGGTGTATTTTATGTTTTAAAAAGTATTTTTAGATTTGTTTAATTAAATTATGAATACATGTTAAATTGTGGACGTGTTAATACATTGGAGGGACTCAAGTCTGGGATGGGAACCGTGACATCGCAGTTAAAAAAGGGAAGAAAACGTTTGCAAAGTTACAGATAAATTGAAAAAAAACTAATCAATACCTCAAAAGATAAACCAATAGTAATCAATGCACAACTGAAATATGCAGGATGGCGTTGGTTGCAACAAAAGAATGAGAAAATGCTTTATAGCTTTCATGCTAGCAGTTTAAAGCTGAGGCAATTCAAATGTCTTCAGATATTAAGTCTATACTATACTTAGCAGACTTCCAAGAGTCACAATGTGTTACAGAAATGTATAATATGCAGCTTTAGTGCAAGCCGTGAAAATATAACGAATAACAGCCTTTACTCACAAACTCCCTCTCTCTATGATGCTCCTCATCCACCTCTTTCATAATCTCTGTAGTTCGCTGGAGCTTGGCATCTACCAACTGCTGTTGTAGTTCCTTATGCTTGAATACTTTGTCAATGTGCTATAGTGGGGTAGCGAGGGTAGGAACAAGACAACGTGAACTACCCAGTCTTCACAAACTTAATAATGACAATTAAAAAGTATCAGCATCAAATTAATTCCCAGCAGTGATCCATTTAAAAAAAAAATCTACCTGATCATTGGGAAAACAATACTTCAATTTATCATAAGCTGACAGGAGCAAAAGCTATGACGTGCTAAGGATCAAACCAAATAACTCAATTTAAAAATGGATTTTTTGTCCATTACTCAGAGTGTACCTGACACTAGAAGCTGCAGCATACTCTACCAGCTGTTGCTCTAGATGTCAAACCTATTTATATGAAACAAATAACTTCCTTTCATATCCAGGTCTCTTGATTAAAGCAAGTCTGGAACAACAAATGCAATTTTAATCAAATGTATTAAAGAAATTTTAATAGTTTTATTTTGAGTGATACATCATTGTTATTAGTGGTGACAATTGCACTACTCCTGGTAAGAGATAACAAGGTGTAGAGCTGGATGAACACAGCAGGCCAAGCAGCATCAGAGGAGCAGGAAAGCTGACGTTTCGGGCCTAGACCCTTCTT